TGCTTTTAATTAAATTTGTTAATTTTAATGGTTGGTCTTGCTCTCAAAGGAAAAGATTTATCGTACTGATCGTAAATATAAAACTTGAACATTTTCTTTCGTCTGAGCAATTTGCGGGAAGTTTACAATTGCGCGGCCTGGGAATTAAAAAGTAATAGAAACTTAGAAGGGCTAGAACTCCGTGAGCCAGCCATTGTGCCATAATGAAAACTGAACAATGAAGGTCGAAGACCCACAGGTCACAGCTGCCACCTGAATACGTCTAGAGACGTTCCGTAAATATGTTCCTTATTGGACGGCAATAACAATTTTATGTCGTCTTGATAATCTCTATAAAATTAATTTTTGTAATTGATATTTTAACTGTTTTTACTGTTTTCGTACTGGATATAAGTAAATTACTTTCTTTAAATTTATAATAAATATCTATTACGAAGTTATGTCATGCTGTAAAAAATTTTCGGACAAACATTATTTTTAAGAGACACTTTCTGTATTAAAATTGTGACTGGCAAAATTCACCTTTTAATATACTTCTGCATTAATACCTAGGTGAATTTTGGTAATCAACATTTTTATATTTCTGCTATTTTCTAACTAGATAAGCATCTACATTTAATTTCTACGCTATCCAAAAAACACGCTCACAAAATTTATTAAATTTAAATATAGTATTATAGTAAAGAATGAATACATTCATTAGACACATATGTCATTCTTTAATCAGCGTGCCTTTCTAGAGAGTGCCAACTAGAAAGAAACTCGGATAAAAGAAGAAATTTACAGCAATGATATGGACAACATGTAAAAATTTTAACTATGCCTTATCAACACGAATAGGCGCTCGTCCTAATTTTGTGCCCCCTCGTCAGCCGTTACGCGTACCTAAGCCTGTTCCCAACTCCCGCCTATAAAAATTATACGTTCATATCCAATATTACTTACCTTGACTTTACATTTTTTTGATGACTTATCTTGATTCGTTCATCTATTCGATGGAATTGTAGTTACCTTCCTTAATTAACCAGTGTTGTGTTAGAACTCATTATTTTTGTATAAAAACGATCATCCCTGATTGTTTTCATTGTTTCATATTATTTAGCTAGCACTCTAGACAGGCTACAGTGCCTCTAATCTAAATATTCGTAAATTCGTGTATAGTATTAAGTTATTCAATACTCATAATATATATGATCTTCGCAATATCGAGACTTATTCTTAAATTTGTAAATTGACCGTTTCCTAATTTGTAATCTTTATAAACTAACCACTATTTTTTATCCCACACTTTGTTGCAATATCACGATTAGTCATTATTAACACCTAACATGTTATTGTAACTCTACGTACGTACATATATATTGCATAATTGATAAGTTATCATGGTACATACCTGCGGCAGGGCCGAGAGTAGCTGCGCACAGCAAAAAGCAGGTTGCCAATAAGAGCTGCATCTCGTCAGGCGCGGCAAATTCGGGGTTCAAGCAAGCTCACGGGAGTGCGCACACGCAACACGGGACACTCGGGCACACTGAGCGCGCGGCGCCCGGGATCGCACTTATAACAGCGACGCGTCCCGCGCACACCACCGCTGCACCACCTAGGGGGATTTCACAGTGGCATTACTTGCTGGGACGACTTACACTGCTAGCTTAAATGATACATTTTACCAAAAAGGAGAAAAAGACCAGTAATGTAATGTGATAAGGTTTGGTGTTCTACGTGTAGCAGCACATTCTGCTCCACGAACGTCCGGCGGCAGCGGCTCGGCGCCCTCGCGGCCGCTCTTCGACACGGGAGTTATCTCGGCAAATCGTACCGCACAATAGGTCGCGCTCAATTTGTTCTTGTTGCGGTCGACGCGAATTCTTCGCTTGTCCAAAGGGTTGTAGTAGTTTTTTCTTAGCTCACGAACGCGATGCGGAGCGGTTTAAAGGGTGTGCCTTTGTTAACTATATCTCCCATTCAGGATCGGGCACGCAACTCGACTGCAATTATAGCACACGTACTAATTTATTCTTACAACTTGAAAGGCGTGAACAAAAATAAAATAGTTTGCTGACTTAAAAAAAATATATATCCAGAATGCCCAGAATTTAGAGCTGAAATTCGAAATGTTCGTATAATCTCATGGCTGGACATTATACCAATATTATACACAAACATGTCTTCGCAATTTTTTATTGTGAAAATATGCATTTTTACTTTTTAGACACGAAAGAAAAAAGAGTTTCGACATCTAACCTTTCTAAAATTTTTACAATCGCAATGATTTAGAACTAACAAGTTAATATACAGTATATATTATGTTGTAATTGGTATAAACGTAGTAATACGTTGGAGCAAAACATTTTGGCCCTTAACTTTTTCTGATGTCCTAAATTATTTCTTAAGTAAGTGTATAATAATTATTTTGCTAATATATTACTTTTATACTGACTAAAAACAATATTCACATGTATGGTATTGCAATGTCATGGTATATAGAAATAAATCTTCAATGATGAGTATTTAATAAGATTTCCACGCGCTTTCGCAAAGGTCAAGCTAGGTACATCCAGTCTTTCTCTAATTTGTGTTTCTAGCGCAATCTCTGAAATGTAGATTTATTTTCGAAAGGAAATACCTGCAACTGGCAACTCTGTCACTCCTTTTTGTACCAAGCAAGTTGCCCCAAAAATATTATGCATAGAAGTTGAGTAACACGTGGTCAACTTATTCCTTTTGATTTTCACATTCCAATTTATATTAACAAATTAGATATATTATATTATAATAGTACGTGGTAAAACTTTGTACGTTGATTCTGTAAGAACTGATTGGCAGCGATCACCACCATACCATCAGTAACTCTAAACGTTCCTTTAAAAAAGGTTTGAAGTCGACATTAACTTAATTGGTGGAAGCTGTTCGCATCAAGCTCTCCCACCGCGTCTTGCGCTGAAGTCCCATCAGTTCTAATTCCAGTACATAACCTTAACGCTAATCTAAAACTGCTCTAAAGCGAATACTAAGTACTTTCAATGCTCCATTGAAGTTTTCATTACAAGATATTGCACTTTAAACGAACCATGCAGAACATGGACCGCATTAAAGCCTTTAGGGTACATTTTTAAATACTACTTTTTAATCTCATTCAACGATACCTGTCGCTTTTGTTTAATGTGCAAAGAATTACGTCCTCAGACGATGGGAGTGTTTAAAAAAAGCATATATTATGCATTTTATCTCTTTAATAACAGCAAAGAGAGTAAAAGTGATGGGGGTGGGAATATACAAAGAGTTTTTTTCAAAAGGAGAGCTGTTGCGTCGCCCGAGGTCCATTTAATCGAGAAGTGCATGACTCCGATGTTTAAAATAATAGGAGTGCTGGACCGCCCATGAGGCCCTACTAAGATTATTAGTGCAGCAATCAAGCTACGGACTGCGCTGCTGCACAACCGATTGTGATCTGCATCTAGAATGATTGTGGTCAAGCCAATTAATCTGTTAAGTCGATCGATAAAAACGAAAATAACTCTAGGTTAGGTAGCAATGAAATGAAGTAAAGACACCTCGCATTATCCAAAAAATTAAATTAAAAGCAAAATATTAACTTTATTGATTATTACTATGTTTTATTCCATTATTTTTGTCAAATTATTCCACTTAGTTTGTTATAATTATTAATACAAAAAATCGAATCCAGCTGGACTCAAACCAGCGACTTCGTCATACCGTGGCTGACGCTCTCCCAACGGATCTACGGAACGAACCAGCAGACCTTATAAAAATTTATGTGCTATTTGGGGCCCTTTTAGTGGTTTTAACGACTTTTTGCCGTAGCGCCATCTATGAGAAATCGTGAAAATGTTATGGCGATCGAAGGAACTTTTTAGTGTTCGATCTTGGTATTAATAAATAATCAAGCATAATTTCATTGACTAAATTATTATCAGCAGGAGAAACTTTTAAAAGTAAAGTACGTTAAACAGTTTCGTTAGTCTCGTCGTTCTTAAAATAGTGTTATAAAGGTATCTGACGCACAAAATACTACTTAGTAGTATTTAGACGTGCGAAATACCTTAGTAATGAGCACCGTACATTCTAACATTTTATTCTTTGGTGCGCTAAGAGATCACGACCCCGGTGGTCTTCGCTTAGCCGTCTAATTGCCGCGATTACAATGAAAATGGGCCCTTGCCTTAACCCCCCACTGTCATTTTAATGCCGCACTTAAAATTAAGTATGTAATAATCCACCGCAATCGGCTGAAAATAGAAAAATGCTTTAAACTTTCTTTATGGACAATAGGTTTACAATTATGCAAGGAATGGTATCCATAAAAAGTAGCGAAGGTTAAAACATTGCATTTTCAGTTTTGTTTTTATTTTACTTGACTCAATTTACATAGAGCTTTTAAACTTGAGACTTCGAATAAAGTTTTAGTGGTTAAAGCTATTAGAGTATATCGTCAAACGCAGAACAAAATATTTACTAATTCATTCTTAAAAAGGGAAATAGTACTTAGTATCCGATTATTACCTACCCATATTACAGACTTTATCAACATACTAACATCATAAGCATTAAAGAAATAACCTAAAAGTTTGCTTGGAATTTGTTATAAAAATAAGCATATATTACAGTCTATATATTACACGTCTCTATCTATATCTATTCACTTTTGTTCGAATGTCACCTCCAGTGCAACGGAACAACATCCGCCAGTGTTTAGCTTTCATATGCTACCTTCCGTACAATATTATTTTAATATTTCTGTCTAGAAAACTAAATCCATTAAAAAGAACCTGATATGTATAAGATTTAACTTGAGAATAAACCAATAAATCGATGCAGGAGTCTGATTTCTGGCGTAAGATAAAAATATCGATTCACGCGATAAGCAATGTGCATCAGATTATTAAAATTATCATAAACATGTCACAATTCATGGAAGACGGTGAAAATTGTACTTATACATAAAATTTTGTTTTATGATTACACTGACCATACATAACTGTATTTTTTTTTATAATTTCAAGTGACGGGACGAACAAGTCGCGCGCCTGATAGTAAGCTACAAGCCTGTCCATAACAGTTGCAGTGCCACTCAGAGCTTTAAATCGCAAAGATCTGAGGAGCACTGTCACTGCGCCCGTCACCCTGAGACATAAATTGACAAGTCCCATGTGCCAGTAATTTCACCAGCACCCTTACCCTTCAAAACCGGAAAACAGTAATGCTGACATTACCAACTGCTTGGCGGCAAAAATAGATAAGGTGGCAGGACTTCCCTGGACGAACTCTTTCTCTAAGAGCTCTACAGCTACTAAATTGCAGAATGGCAGATCTTTAGTCACAATTATCCAATGGTTTAACACCCGGAGAGCCCGGCTAAATTACAAAAACGGTTCCATATTGCTTTGTCAACCAAAAGATTTCGCCGTATTGTTTTTTTTATTTGCTATAGTTACTTTGGGAATTACTTTTATTTTAATTAAAGGTAACATAATTGTATTGCACCAGTTAACATTGAAGAGCTAAACACGCTGTTGAAATATAAATAAAAGCACATTTAATGAACACAGCAGTCAGTTAATGAACTTAATTGTGATTAGATTAATTATTAATGCATAGATCAAACACTTAGAAAAAAAATCTTCGATCCAGCTGGATTCGAACCAACGTCTTCTAGCGTATCTTTGTATTAATAATTGTAACAAACTAGAGGAGTAATTCCAAAAAAAATTATTGAATATCATGGTAGTAAAATATCCTTCAATAAAAACTTAATTTATTGGATTAAATTATTGGATTGTTTAGCACTTTAAAATAATGTACGTGGATGAAGTTACAGCAATGAATTTGAATTTTCTACTAAGTACATTATGAAAGAGGTATGTATACCTAGTGTTTATATTATTATATCCTGATTATTTTCTTATTCTTTCTTTTTTTCGTTCTTTAAAGATCTTACATGCCATCACGCGAGACTCAAAGGTGTTTTATGCTTTAATTAAAGTCTATCTATTATGGTTACTTTGTTAACTCTTGCTGGTTCATCAACCTCGTCTCTTTTGCATTCCGTTCCGTTTATTTTAATTATAATTCATCTGACGGAGATTCAGTAAAAAAATCTTTATCTTATATTCGGAGGTTGTAATTTTTTAGCTAAATGTTCAATCAAAATAAATAATTGGCACATTGTTTTGCAGCCGATGCACTACAATTATTGCAAGTGAAAACGATAAATCTACTCCGACAACAAAAAAGATGTAAAATAAAATCTTTTACGAGTTGCAGTTGAAAAAATCTTCTTCGCGCTTTCTTGTGAAGCGCAATTAGAAAGTTCGTCGTAAAAATAATTGAGGTTGCCTTCAAAGTAGTTCAGGATATGTGTTACTTAATTTTCCTCTTTATGTCTTGAACCGCTCTATTAGCTGCCAGTCGGCGACTGAGCGGATATCAAAGGACAGCTAATAGTATATATCGACGGGTGCACGCGTGATGTTATTGATTCGCTCTCCCTGACGTCGGCAGTTATGTGTTTAAACCATTACTCTGTAGAACG